AATCCTTCTGTGAGATGATGTGGCTTCTTACACAGAATAAGGCACGCAACATATTTCATAGTATTTAAGCAGTGATAAAGGCATTGCATTGTAAATATACTTTATTTTAATGAAAATTATATATTATTTGGAGTTTCAGCTCGAGAGCGCCCTCTGGCCTTCGGATGGAGATTTACTGCTGATCACAGAACCGTGCTTCACTGAAAGATACGCATAACAATCGCAGCTTCTGTCGAATCGCGATCTCGATTCCATTTCGATTTATCGTGCAGCCCTAACTTAAATATTCATGTATTAATGCATTTATAAAATACCACACAACCTGCATCTTTATATATATATATATATATATTTGTTTTAATTTCATTAGAAACCTGTTCAGCGTTTACAGAAGGTTCATATAGCATACAGTAGTACCGTAATGGCAGAAAAATATAATATTCACAATGGGTTTCATGACAAAACCATGAAATGGATTTAAGCCTTGAATGGGCAGTTATATCTTTTCAAACCTTCTAAAATAACATAAGAATAAACTGTCTCTGTATTTATAAAATAATATGGTCAACAACATGATTTTACCCCATCATACAGTAGTGGTGCAATTACCCTTCACAAAAGCCAACAGGAATTGATTTTAGAAAGTAAATCATCATTACAATAATAAACAAAGAAATATAAGGACTTTGGACTACCAACGGACAACAATAGAACTCCATAAACTCTTTACATGTGTTTGCATCTAAAATAAATAATTTCATCTTGTACAGGGAACAGTAGTTATACAGTCAGGCAGCCGACCCCACTGAGCTTCAGTCTGAGACCGAAGGTCAAAGTTCAGTTTAAGTTCAAAGGTCAGACTGAAGGATACAGTAGTGACAACACCAGCCAATGAAACATGAACAAGGAAAGCTTTAAAAACATCCAAGTTCAGCACACAAATGTTCACTCTTTAAGGCAAGGAACGGAGTGAATTAAAAAATCTTGAATCACTCCTGCTTTTCACTGAATAAATCACTGAAATGATACTGATTTCATAACAACACTGTCATTAAAACGCAGATAAACACATGATGGTGCATTAAACGCCTCCGTGAGCAGAGGAACTCTCAGTAATGGATGCTCGTAAAGGACAATGTAACATTCAGTTCATTCAACCCGTCATAATCCCAATGATTTTCATTTTACCACATATAAAAAAACAACAATAAAAACTGAACATGATAAATGCTTTGAGTATATGTTCCTCATTCCTCAGTTTCCTTCATGGTTGACTGGAGTGTCAGTGCTTCTCCTCTCAAAACACACACATATACACACACACAGCAAAATTTCAGATTAAATTACAGGAAGACAGAGTTTATAATGTCATTTTGGGCTTGCATCGAACACACACATCCTAACCTTACAAGCAAGGTCTGATTCAAAGGCAGCTTATGACAGGTTTCACTGTAGATGCTCACTACTGATGCTGACTGAAACCAAGAAAGTGGGTGAATCTTTAGGAAACACGTTCAGGTGACATTTAACCCCATATTCAAATGATCCTAGAGGCCATGGAATGATTCACCTAAACTTTGTCCCGAACAGAATAAGTATTAGAACAACAACTATGACAAAGAGAATTAAAATGACCAGCATCTTGCGGTTTTTCTTCTGGTACTGTTCAGCCTAAGAAAGGAAAGAGAAAAGTTGAGTGTGCTTTCCATCTCTACTATGTAATATTATTTTTTAAATATCATGTGGATACTGTATGTACATTTATAATACACAACAAATGACTGAAAAAGTAAGGGTAAGCAATTATATCCCTTGACATGATGCTTAACACATCATCAGGCTTGATAAGAGCCTCACCTTCTGCAACTGCTGCAGACCCTCCTCTGTTTTGACACAAGCTTGCTCCACATTGAAGTCGATTCTGTCGAGGACTGTGCCCTGAATAAAATTGACATTAACAATGCACATTTAAAAAAAATATATTTTGCATATATATGCAACTGCCTCAGTCAAAGAAGCATAATACGGTATTCATTTTGTGTTTGAACCTAATTTATTTATAATTCTTATTTTTATTCTTCATTTTTATTTATTAATTCTTATATAATTGATATTAAATCAATTTTAAAATTCATCCTAAAAGTGTATGTAGGCACAAAAGCTAGATTTTGCATACGCTCAAATGTTTTCAGATTTATAAAACCATGCGTAAGCCAGAATCTGCACAAAAAAACCCTTTATATATCCATAAAAAACTGTTTAAAATAGTTCTCAGAAAAATAATTTCCACTGGCCCAATAATATTTCAATTGTTTTAAAAAATTCGAATTAAATTAATGCAGTTTTGCTGATAAGGTGAACAACTTTTAGCTATTTTTAGTGGAAAAATATAGGCCTATATTTATTGCAGTGTAAATACAATTATATGACTCTGCGCGTCATTGACAAATTATTTTAAAAAGGAAATGTGCAAATCTTACCATGCAAAGTTTCCCGTCAAGTTTGTTTTTTATAAATCCCTCCTTTTGCGTAGGAAGTGGCGTATGCCTCTTTCAGGGCAGGTTTTGTGCGTACGCAACGGTTATAAATGAGGCCCCTGATCTGTTTAATTTAATATAATTAAATTGTTAAAAAAAATTTTTTTGCACCAAGACGCACACTGACCTGTTCAACAACCATTCCAGCAAGATCTCTAAATATCTCATTAAGGTCAGAGATGGACTGAACAATTTGTCGAATTTCTCTCTCTCGCTCTTCTACCACCACTGTGTTTTGCTGAACCAGCACTAGTTGGTCATCTGTAAATCCCTGAAAGAGTGAGAAAGACACTTCCAAAGTCAGACGTCAACCATGTACTGAAAACAGAATGCTATTACATAACAATTGCTGCAATGAAATGTAGATTAATTTGACATATTTACTTAAGTTGAAAAGATTAAAATTTAAACTTAATAAAAAAAAAACTAAATAAATCTGTAAAATTAACATTCACGTTTTAGCAACATATTGATTCTGTAATCCTATTATAGTATTTTTCACAAATAAAAAAATAGTTAAAAACAATAATAAAAAGTAAGTAAACACTCTAACCAACAGTGGACACAGTAAGTTTGTTAGCACTGGGAATCATATTTTCTTAAATAAAGATCAGGTAATGCTAATTTTACATTCAGCACACAGTGACATATGACTTAAATATGACAGTGGCAAACTAGATATAACAGCATAATTTATTCGCTGTCAAAATAAAAGCTTCTTATTAGCCAAGCAAAAACACATTGGCCAATGCCACCAACACAAAAATGCCAAATATTGGCTGATATTAGGAAATGCATCGGTCAACCACTGCACAAATACTGCACACCAATATCTAAATGTTTGCTAAAAAAAAAAAGAAAAGATTATTCATTTTATATTATGGCCCATATTTTATATAAATCTATACAGTGTTCACTCTAAAGGTCTGGATTTTAGAATTTACATGCTTCAAGGGACATTAAGCATCAAAACATTACCATATATAATGTTATATATAATGTTTAAACTATAATCTGCTTCCAAAAATAATGCCAATAATTTAAAGCGATAGCGATTGGTTGATACCAATCTAGTCACCAAAATAGAAACATGTATGTCGCATATATACTAAAAAAACATGTGAATATGAGTATTAGTAAAACATTCTCACTCTGTCATATAGCGCAATATCTTCATCTTCCTCCACAAGAGGACCAGAGTCAAAAAAGTGCTTGGATCTTTCTTCACGGTTTTTCATCCCTGTAAATGAAAGTAAGATGTATCATAAAGATTTGTCATAAATAAACAGCATGAGGTAAAAGCTAATGTTGATTGAATAACATATATCTTGTGTTTGCATACACTTACGTTTCAGGTAGCTTGACTGTGTGTGTCTGAAGTTGATTGACAGTTCTTGAAGGCTCTGGGCCAGTGAGGAGACCACATTAGTCAACAGCCTGTTTTCTTGCTCTGTACAATGACGACTCTGAGTCTGGAGCCCCGTCACAGCCCGCTGGCACCTGTGAAACATCTACACACACATATGCAGACACACTACAGATGTAAATTCAGTTTTATGATGTGTGCAGTGATTAACTGCCGTAGTTTTTCTGTGTCCACTTCTACCTCTTTAGTTATAACAGATGGTACTATAATGTGTGTGTGTGTGTGTGTGTGTGTGTGTGTTATACCTGTGTAATTTCCTGTGTAGTGATCTCGATGGCGTGCTCCTCCTCACTGCTGTCATCCAGCGTGGGCCGGTTCATGTGTTTGTCGTGCAGACTGGCCAGTTCCTTCATCTTCTGACGAATACGTGTGATTTCAAACTGAATCTGTGGGAACAAGGAATTCACTATTCACTCTGTTGACTCTGGACAGAAGCCTTATTTGAGCTAAGTCTATGTATGTGAATGTCAAATATCTATATCTATGTTCAAAATAAATACTGTTGATGAACACAGAAATTATTTAAACTGATCCCCCATTTGTAAATACAAACAAAAAATTGTGTTTACAACATTAATCCTTCAAGTAAAAAAGGACCACTTTTTATGTATGCAAGAATTAATATACACTAACATTTAAACGTTGGTAAAAAGTCTGATAAAAAGTCTCTTATGCTCAACAAGGCTGCATTTATTTGCTAAAAAAACAATATTGTGAAATATTATTACAATTTAAAATAACTGTTTTCTGCTTTAATATATTTTAAAATGTAATTTATTTCTGTGATGCAAAGCTGAATTTTCAGCATCATTACACTTCAGTGTCACATGATCCATTAGAAATTACACTAATATGCTGATTTGCTGCTCAAGAAACATTTTACTATACATTTTTCAGGATTCTTTGATAAACAGAATAGAAATAGAACAGCATTTATTTGAAGCAGAAATCTTTTGTAATATTATAAATGTCTTGTCCAGTTCATTAAATGTCACTTTTGAATTTCATTTTTTAATATTGTTAATGCATTACTGTGCATGTTTTTTGTCTGAATAAACTAAGGTGTGAGTCTAAACTATTTCTCTGGTAATTTATAGCATGCCACAGATGGCATGGTAAAGCTTAACTTGTTTTGAAACTGGAACATTCCTTTAATGTCACTTATCACTTAAAACAATCATCTAATTACCTCATCCACTCCCTCCACCCATTTAGGCGGGAGTCTCTTCGTGACACCAATAGCGGCCTCTGGATCCAAACTGATGCCTGACACCAGAGCCATACGGTCATCGGCCAACTAACAGACAGAGAGAGAGAAATAACAGTAAACATTACAGGCGAAATGAATTTAAATACAGTAAATCATAAAATGTAGCTGTATGAGATTATTATTGGTAGCTGAAAGAATTATTGTTCAAAATATTTAATCAAAACTGAGGAGTAAATAGTGTATAGTGTTCAAATTTTGCACAAACAGACTGACTCTTTACTAAGCCCCACCTTAAAAATGGCACAGACCAATCCTACTTTATCCTACTATTGTTCCATCATATTATCAGACAAGCTCTTGCTCTTTTTTAATGAAAGTCTATGTAAGGTGTGTGTGTTTGGATGGTTTTAAAAGCAATTTAATAGGAAAACACAATAAAAGGTTGTTGAGTCATTTAAAACTGTAAAACAAGAAGAAAGGATACGACTGTCAAATGTTTAAAAAGCTCATGCTGTGGCTAAAACTGTGTTGCACTCATTCCTAAATGAACGTGCAGAACTTATGTTTTTATCGGTGGTAAATTAACATTAATTCATTCCAATGAGACATTCTGTAAAGCACATCTGAGGTAGCAACAGTAACCAAGGGGGGCGGAGCTTAGCAAAGGGATGCTAAAACATCAAGGTTACCTCATCAAACTCCTAATGTGATTGGAAGACCCCAGCGATGTCCCATCCAGTAAGAGGAGAGATAGAAGAGAAGTGGAGGAACATGAGGAGTGAAAGCAGAGGAGCCAAGACAAAAAGCAGTGATCAGCATCAAAAAGACTGACAGCAGGACTTCAGTCAAAACTTCAGTCAGGCTTCAGGACAAAAACCAGTACATGCAAATTGTTCTTAATTGCAGATTATTCCATATATATATACTAATGTGGAAGAAAGAAATACATAGATACAAAATGTATGTGCATCATATGTATTGTGGCATCATGTTGCTATAATGTTTTCAGGCATGTAAGATTTGTCCATTCCAGCCCAATAACTCCAACTGCATAATTGTGCTACTGATTCATAAATTCATTAAATAAGATATTAATTAATTATATAAGTACTTTCTGGTGTTACTGAATTCATAAGAAGCAATAAAAGATAAAGCTGGAAGATAAAACCTATTTTTAACCTAAAACAACTCACTGACATGATTACTGTAGACCTGAGCAATGCACAGCAGAAGATTCTGTCAGGACTTTGCAAGGCAGATCAAGAAGTACTCAGCTAGATCACAGAAGTGCAAACAGGCAAAAATCAACATGCAAGCAGATGGTAAGGAATGGAGCCACTACACCAGACAAAACACAAGCAGGCATGATTGATATATGATCAGAATGGCGTCCGTGCTAGTAACTTTTAGTTACTTTACACAGCTTCAAATACTGCATTACAAAATCTGTCTGTCAGGACCCAGTCAATACCCTATAAAGATATTAGACAATTTAAAAGCATGCTGGATAGCAGGCCGTCCACCAGCATCAAAGAGAAAGAAAAATGTGATGCATAGCTTATCTGTAGGAAAGATCTATGGAAGATTGGGAGACAAAACATACTGCCTTCCTCTGGAGTCTCATTTTCGAATATAAAAACATAACTAAAGCAAAGTATATATATTGAGCATCAAAGAGTCACAAAAATATTTTAGAAATGTAGCAATAAAACGCCACACTACAGTTATTATGTTTGTAAATGCATACAAATAAGGTATTATAACAGCTTAGAGACATTTAATGGAAAGTGATACATAAAGGCATAAATTATGATTTTAAAAGGATTTAATGATTTTTAAATTCCATTATATTTTGGAACTTCAATAAACAAACTTAGTGAACATATTCAAAATATCCAGAATGTATAAATATTTAATTAAAACGATTTTTGTATTATCAAATTTTCAGGAAAAAAAGCTAACCTACACTACCGTTCAAAAGGCTAGGGTCAGAATAATTTCTGAAAAAGAAAAGAATAAGTTTATTAAGCAATTATACATTAAAATGATCAAAAGTGAAAGAAAAGACTTTGATACAAAATATTTCTATTTCAAATAAATGTTGTTCTTTTGAACTCTCTATTCAAAGAATCCTGCAAAATCACAGTTTCCACAAAAACATTAAGATAATATTTAAAAATGTTTCTTGAGCAGCAAATCGGCAAATTAAAATGTTAAAATAAATAACGTTTTTTTTTGAAGGATCATGTGACACTGGAGTAATAAAAAAAATATTTTAAATTGTAATAATATTTCACAACATTTCCGTTTTACTGTATTTTTGTATCAAATAAATGCAGCCTTGGTGCACATAAGACACTTAAAAGAAAAAAAAAACCTTACCAACCCTAAACTGCTGAACGGTAGTTTCAACTTATTTTGACATTACTGTCATTTTTTTTCTAAATACTACTCGCTAATCACCATCTTTGCTTTATTATACTAATATTCATATCTGAAATAAAACACAACTGCAAAAATGTGATTGTTTCTCTTCAGATTTATACATCTATCAGCTCTTCTAGAAGTTAGCAAACAAAAGACAGTTAATATTTTCAGCACTTATTTTGGCCACAATGACAATACAAAAGCCAATTAACTTCTCTTATAATATAATGCTTAATTTTGTTCCACACACAGTATATATATACACTGAAATATACAGCTGCCTTTATATTTCAGAAAGGGGGCCATCATATTTTAGGGACCCTGGCGTCCCCAACTGCTAAACCGGTGATCTAACGTTAAACGTCCGCAAAACTAGCACGACAATCACCATCTTTTAGTAATTTCATTGCCATTCCTGTATGTTGAGGTAAATCAAAATGCAACTGTATGGAAACGGTTTGCACAGACCTGCCAGCTCCTCACACGGCAAACAACACAGCTGAGGTTTGTTGGACAACCGACAGCGCCGGTCGACATCAACAAACACCACTAGCTAGGGTTGTTGTCTAGCTAGCTCAGAATCACACACACGCGAAAACAATCAATTCAGACAATGAACGTTAGACTCACCGCAGCATTGCTACGTGTATTCAGAGTACGACGGGGGTCGTATGTACTCACTTGCTCAGCCAAAATCTGCCGGTTTTGGATTGCATTGTTCCGCATTAATAAGAAGGCATCGGTCAGTCGCCGAGTTGCCATGGCTACGCAATACAAGGCGACCGTAAAACGAAATAACTGCGAGCTGCCTCGATGGCTGTCTTTAGATTAGTTACTCAGCTCGTCGCCAAGGCAGCTGGACGGCTACTTGACTAGCGAGCTAGCCTGCAAAACGGCAGGCAGGCTCGCCCACCAACTCGAGAGTTTCCGGACAACACCGGCTCTCTTTTAGACCGAGACAGTCCTGAGTCTGTATCCTGTGAAGTACCGCAACATTACAAGACCGATAACGCAAGTTTTCAGCTTGGTTTTAGGGCGCTAATGGATCATCTCTGTGACTTCCGTGACGTGGAACACGTAAACGTGACCTCACAATGAAACTTCCGCTTTGGACAATGAATAGGCAAAAATCAGTGACGTTATTATTTATGTCGACTTTTATTTTTGAAAATGTACTATTATATTTTTCTTTTATTTTTATACTGTATCATGATATCATGATAATATAATAATAAAAATAATTATTATTTTTGAACTATACATTTCATGTACTATGGATGTCTGGTTTGTGTTTTGTTCTTTATCAATAATAAATAAATAAATAATGCGACATCAGAGATGTTATTTAGGCCTTGTATTTTTTTTGTTATTTTGAACCTTTATTTAGTAAATTATGTATAAAAGCAAAATTAGTAAATCTAAACAATGTTTCATTTTTATTTATTTATTTATTTGCACAAGTTTGCTTTGTTTATTTAGTAGCTAATATATATTAATAATAAAAAATCGAATATTTTATTTGGTAAACAGTTGAATTTATCTGAAATTCATTTTAACTGTCATTTAATTAATTTTGTCTTTTATTTCACTTTTTATTTCGTGAATATAATAATGAACATAATAATAATAAAATATCTTAAACTATCATTTTTCGTACTATGAATGGCTTTGGTCTGTAGCCTATGTTGTTCTTCGAATAGGGTAAATTTGTAAACATAAAACCTATATATTTATTAGTCAAAAGCCTTATAAATAAATGTACGATCGTGAATTATAAACCACTTTGTTCTTCAAATATGAGCATAAAATTAATTTAGCTTAAAATCAATGATAAGTGTGGCATTGTATGAGGATTTGGGGTTGTTTTTTTGTAGTATTCTTTACTGGCGGTAATTGAAGAAAAATGATATGAGAAAAGAATACTGAAGAATATAATTTTAAACTATTAGCACAAATTCTCTTTTTTTTTTTACCACAAGTTGTCGCTCCTCTACTGTTACGGCGGCTCAGAAGCGCCATAGGCATTTCCATAACCTGCATTTACGAAAATGCGTTTAACCACACAGCGGCAGTGTTTCCTACCTGTAAGATCACGCGTAGAATTTGCCACCAATGTCGTCGACGTTGATAGAGAAAAGTTCTGTGTGAACGCTGTGGACCTGTTGAAGGGATAACTATGATAAAATAGCTTTCTCCAGTGGCTGGGTGGGAAGTGACAAAGTTTGAGCATTTCTGCACTGCTGGTGCTTTTCCCGTGTGGAGCAAAAGAGGAACTTAGTCATTCATCTCACTTAACCTGACAGTGCTTAAAGCCCATCTGTGAAAACTGTAAACATGGCTAGTTGTCTCCAGTTCTATCTATCTATCTATCGATCTATCTATCTATCTATCTATCTATCTATCTGTCTATCTGTCTATCTGTCTGTCTGTCTATCTATCGTTCATTTGTGGTCACAGCATTCCCATACTTCCATTTGTGTTTGTTCATAGTTTTGATAACTTTACTATTAGTCTAAAATGTGGAAAATAGCCATAATAAAAAATCAGTAGGTGTGTCCAAAGGTTTGACTGATGGTTTGCATATAGAGAAGGAAAGAGAAAGCTTCCAGCTTCATTTTCCATGTGCTTACCAGTGTGACGTGCCAAATCTGCTGGGTTTACGTAAGACAAACCCACCCCTGTTGACCTAGCTGCTGCTGTCTATATAACTTAGAAGCATGCATCTTAGGGCGACCCTTCAAAGATGTTCTGCAGTACTGGTGAATTTATTATTGCATGCCAACTTATAAGAAGCTTGAAAAGCACCCTCCTGCCACGCTACATAAAGAACTGTGACTTCCTGCCAAACGAGCAGCAGCAGCAGCAGCCAACCCCACAGGAACATCATTTGAAGCCTCCTGTGATATGTGCGAGTGAACAGTTGGAAGCTAAACTACAATAATAAATCCAAGATTACAGAATATTCTGGAATAGAGCATACATAATAAAATATTCAATAAAATATAAAGGCCTAATAAAACAAAGTTGAGGTTGCAGAATGAGAAAAGACAGATATAACTGGAAGGTTTATATAACAGGAACATGAACAGGCTAACAGAATGTGTATTGCATATAAAAGTTCATAAGTGGAGAGTACAGTAATGTTAGAGAGGTTAACTGGGGCTATAAAGCAGACAAAACCCAGCAGTTTTTACCTCATCTGGACAGTAACAGAAAATAGAGGTTGTGACCAAGAATAACTAGCAGGGATTTCACAAAAAGAGCAGCTGTGTAACCCAAATCCCCTTCCTAAACTGTTCAGGGCACTCAATATGGGTTTCTATCATATTACACATACTATACATTACTGATTAAAGGTTTGGAGTCATTAAGATTTATTCATGTTTTTGAAAGAAGTCTCTTGTTCACCAAGGCTGCATTTATTTGATCTAAAATATAGTAAAAACGTTGTGAAAAATGGACACATATTAAAACATTTGAAATATTATTATAATTTAAAAGAACTGGTTTTATTTGAATTTTTGTTTTAAATGTAATTTATTTCTGTGATGGCAAAGCTGATTTTTAGTAGCCATTACTCTAGTTTTCAGTGTGAATAAAAGATCATATATTATAGATTAAACTACAGTAAAACATCTCTATAGCACACAGTCACCATAAACAGGATAACTTCAATATAATATTTGACAAATGTTCTAATAAAACACCAGCCTGGAATTTGCAACACATATTACTACTAATCTGACCAAATGTCAGAGTTAAACAGTATATTGTAAGAAAAAAGGATGAGACTTGATTTTACAATTTGGGAATTGACTGGATTGTGAAAAATGTATATTTCATGGCAGAACGAAGCCATTCTATCATGTTTACACAGAGCAACAGTATTTACATCTTTTGTTAAAAAATGTACTCATCTGCCACATGATATATGAATGTATCTTAATTTGAGGTCTTTTTTTGCATGTGATTAACCCTGATTAATTCAATTAATTATTCAGCATATTAATTCAATCAAAAATTTAAATTGTTGCCATCCTAAGTTAAAATTACAATTTTTTTTTCTCTAGGACTGTTTCTCCACTTCTTTGTCTTCTCACACATTTGTCTCTCCTCTATCCTCCTCTTTTTCCATCACTCAGCTACATTCTCTTGTTTTCCCCTCACAGTTCAGTTTGAGATTCTCCTCTCTGCTTCATCTTAACCTTCATGCGTACCCAAACCCTGACGGCCGTCCTCACACACACACACATTCACACAGGCCCCGGCAGCCACATTCATCATACTCTTTCGGCCCATTCATCACATCCCCCTGAGCCCCCACAGTCCTCTTAGACACAGGCATGGGGTTAGCAAACATCTTCTGGAATTTAGGGCTGTGGTTGGGTTTTTAATGTTTTACAGCGAGTCTCTCGCAAGTTCACAATTCCCCACAGCGCAGAGGAACTCACGGGGAATGGAAGAAGAACGCATGTGTACGTAATAGGAATGATGTGTGCTCAAGTGCAGAAAATCCCACAGACTGTTTACAGGGTTTTCATACTTTGTGGCTGTGAGTGATGACATTTATTTACCCTTGACTGAAGAGGAATCTCTTTGATTGTGTTCGACCAGAGCGCCTGATAAGAGTGACAGTGCCTAGCCTAGTGTTGTGCTCTGTTTGCTCTCTCACTGAACATGCCCCTCATAGATAGCAGCACTCAGGGCCATCCTTAGGGGGGTGCAACTGGTGTGGGCGCACCGGGCCCCGCGCTGGAACGGACCAAGGGGGACAAATACACCAACCACCCCCCCGAACTTCATCGCGAATGGACCGAGGGGGGCCCCGCTCCCTTCCTCGCACCGGGCCCCACATCAGCTAAGGACGGCTCTGGCAGCACCATTAGCAATAAAGCCTCTTTTTTTTTTTTTTTTAAATCTAAAGAAGGCCAGAGTGGATACAATACATAAAATGTGTCCAAAATTAATTAATACAGGTGTTTTGCACCTTATACATGTCATTTGAAAACCTGCTCATTACATAACTTACCAAAAGAAAAATGGTAACACTTTACAAAAAAGGGTTCAGATGGTTAATATACATTTTTAAATATGCTATAAATGTAAAACAACAACAACAATTATTATTATTATTATTATTAAATGAATAATATTAATTTATAGAGCTTTAAATGTTAAAATAGCAGGCTGTATGTAGATAATACCATTAACCAAGATAATAAATGCTATAAAAGTATTGTTCATGTTTATTTCTTATTATTTTAATGATTGATTTTAACGTAATGAACATTATGACGAAGCGTTTGTGAATAAGTAAATGGAAATTATTTAATGTAAATTTTAAAATGTAAATATACATAAATTCTGTTATATATGTTAAATATATTTATTATATATTTATCATGTGCATTTACTAAATGGACATTATTTTTGTGATCTTTTGTGATTTTTTATTTAACTTCAAAATGTTTTTCCTATGCAACATAACAATAACATACATAGATTTATGCACGTAATACTAAATAAATAGATAGATTTTACGTCTTTTACGTGCATAAATATCCACGACATTTGCTTGTACTCATCAGCACAAATGAGACAAGTGTCGATCGATGCTGCTAACGGTGCGCCACCCGCCGCGGCCTCTCGCAGGCAGCACCTGTCACGCAGCGGCCGGGAGCGGAGAGCGGAGCGCGGTAGACATGTGCTCCTCAAACATTCCTTCCCCAGCGGCAGCGCTCATAAATCTGCATTACCCGGACACTCAGCTCCGCCAGCATTTTTACAGGAGAAACTTTATACGAGTTATTTTTGATGGGTGTTTGTGTTATCTTTAGTGTATTGGTGGATTTGAGCTGAGCTGTCTTTCTTAAAGTGAACTCATGTATTTGTTTTGTAAACTTTTAGACACTGGCTATTTAGACACTTTGATATGAGAAGGGTTAAAAGTGATCGATGACACCATGAGGACCGAAACGAATCATGTTTCCAGAATCAGACGAAACTCAACACACCTGCCACAGCCCATGCATCACCTTAAACGGTCATCATCGTCGGGTATATATTTCCTCATTGTAC